GAGAATCGAAATTTATCTAACTCAAACAGTAAAAATTCGTTGTAAAGTAAATTTTGGAAAATAGTGTTCAAAAAATAATTACACGATAAATGAGTAAGTCCTTAAAARTATAATATACCATAGAAGTAGGATTGAGATTTTAATAAAAGTAGATATTGTCATGCTCAATAATAAAATAATAAAATGTAGAAAGCGTTTTATTCGTTAATCATGTATTATTGTGATCGTCTGCATACGGTCATTTAGAGCTTATACCTACTTCATAACTAAAGCCGCTCCAACGTGTATAATAATTTTCATATTATAAATAAAGTTATGTAATTTAAGTTGATGTGACAATTGTTAAAATATAAAATACATTTATTAATTGTACATCATTCAGTTAGAAAAAATCCGATATAGATTATTGTGTCGTACCAACAAAATTGTTGATAATAACATTTTAATAACTAATAACTAATAACTAATAAGTGTGAAAAATAATATTTTGAGAGATTTATTTTAATTCGTTATATAATACTATTGAGTATAAATGCTTATAAATTAACATTCTAGTTTCCAASAACAAATCGTGAATCTTGAATAGTTTTGATTTCGAAAATTCAACTTTATTTTTCTTGCCACTTCGTGTTGATATATCGTTCAACAACAAGACAMCTTTAAGAGAACATGATACTCCCTTATGTTTTCTCCGTCTTACAAGTGTGCAGTAACATAGCAAATTTTACGCTCAGCAAACACATGTTTGATTGTTATTTTATTTTWATTTTAACGCGAGTTGYGAGTGTTGTAAGATGTAATATTTTAATATTATAAATTTACAATTTAAAATTAAAATATGATAAAAAGCCTATGAGGTTATCTGGATAATAATCTTACCTTTAAATTTTATTAGAGGTCAATTCACTCTAAATTTTAAAGTTTATACTAACAGAGCTACACGTGTTCTGCTAAGCGTAATATTTGCTATGTTACGTATACTTGTAAGACGGAGACGACACATGCGGTTATAACGTACTGATCATGTGTGTAATTGCAAGATTATTCAAAATATTCAAACAACACGCTTGTTTTTATAGTTTAGTGAATTCTATTTGTATATATTAGTGGTAATCGGTAATGACATTTTTATAGCCAATGAAATTGACTTTTGTGCCTTATTATTTGACAATGGTTTTCCATACACGTTTTGATGA